GAAGCACCTGTCTTCAATGCCTGTTTTTGGTATTGGACGAGGGTTGGCGAGACACTGACTGATGAAACTTTGGAGTTTGTGCCCCTCACGCTCCTGACTAGCAGGCTGCTCTGCATCAACGCAAGACGTTGGAAGCTGGTCCGACTGCAAATGAAATGATTGGGGTAATTTTTTGTTCTTTCACCTATGAGGGCGACCACCTAGAATCTTCCGTTGCGGTTGTGTTTTCACACATGAAAGCGATGTGGACCGAAGCTGCTACCTCCCACCAGCGCCACCCACAAACCCCGACCCCAGAGCCTCGACACACCCCTAAAACGGACAAAGCCACGAGGCTTCTTGAACTTAGCTACGATTGCTGGCCCCAGTGCTGCTAGTACGAAGTTACTGCTGCTACTGCTACTACCACTACTACTACTACTACTACTACTACTACTACTACTACTACTACTACCGATGTTGCAATTGCTGTGCCATTCGCACGACAAGTACCATTCGCAATGGAAGGTATTCTGCACTCTTGTACTGGTGAAAAGCCATGTGATGTGTGCGCCTGGCAGGATGGTGTGATGCGGTGCAAAGGGCCCGCCCGGGCCATCGACCAGGTGGCAATGCACGCCGACATGAGGCACTTGCCGGCTTCCAGCTGTTTTTTTCATGGTCAACGGCGGCCATTGTCGGATAAAGGATTTTTCTGAGGTCGGTGACGGTGGCTTTGTCGAGCGGTATACAGTGGGAAGCAGGTTCTCGCTTCGGAAGTGAAATTCCTGCCGTTTTTCTCTGGCGCTTCTTCACATGCGTGTGTTCAGCCGCCATGTCTTCGAGGCAACTTGACATGAAGCTGACTATGATCCTGCGCAGCATCGACGGCACTGCTAGCAGGGATGCCGAAGAGGAGGCTCCGTGCACGTTGGTGGGCAGGGCTTGCGAGAGTCGAGAAAGCTTGTCTATCTTCTTGATCGGGAGGTAACGGGAACTTTTCCCCAATGAACTGGAGCATGCGCATGGTTTTTGGCAGTTGTTGCAAGTGCGTTGCGACCCCTTCGATGTGTTTATGCAGCGGCATTGCGCTTATAGTCTTCCTACACGAATATCCTGTGATGTCCATACGAGCGACGTTTAGAGCCGAGCGTTGAAGGTTTGGGATCTTCTGTCTTTGGACCTAATTTTTCTGTGAACTAGGGCTCCTGCACACTGACAGCGACGTGCTCGTGGCACTGAGCTCCATCCAGCGCGAAAGACAAGTTCCAGCCTTTTTAGATGCTTTCGGGTTGCAGTGCTTTCGATCCCAAACCAACATGAAGCTAAGCTCAATCCGAACATTGCATTCCGGAACTCCTAAACCTTGCAAACCAAACCTCATGCCGTGCTATGAACTCGGGGCTGTTCTTCAACTTGGAGGTTTGGGTTAGGGCTCGTGAAGCCGCAGAGTTTGGCAAGACTTTCCCTCCGTGCACGAATGAATATGTCAAACCAGCAGACGTCCTGACAATAATACTCATTTCCAGGCTTTCTGAACCCTATTGCCCATTATCCGTGGGTTTGGACTTTTTCAAGCTGCTTCCAAGGACAGGACCGCACGTGCAAACCAGGCACGCAGAGCTGAAAAGATGATGGTTTTCCGCTCCCAAAACACGATGTTCAGCCACGGATGAGTGTTGACAAGGCCCTGTTCCAGGTTGCATGCTGGCGACCGCAGCTATAGTTGGTTAGCTTTAACGATCTCAACCATAGACTTGAGTCTGTTTCTTCCACAAACCCCTAAACCTCAAGCCGCAAACTCCAAGCCTCGAACCCTAATCATGAGCACTGAAGCGCTTGAACCTTACGAATGCTGAACCCGAAACCTTGAGCCCACGACATCAACAATTGCACAACTAAGTTTCTCTTCGCGCTTGTGGAATATGCTTGCGTACTTGTTGGTGCCGTGTCTTGCAGCCCAGACGACAACCCCCCTCATGGTCCTCGCAGGGGCGCCGTAAATCATGGACCCTAAACCTATAGCCTGTAAACCCTATAAATCTAATCCACATTACACACATGGTCTCTCAGGCGCATGGTGAAAATCAGGCGCAGGACATTGTTTGCGCTCATGCGTCCCCCGGAAAGCCAGATCGATCAGAAATTCCGATAGATTGAATGCATGAGGGGAAGCATGTTGGGCGCCTGCGAACCTCGCCGGTGCTTGGGGGGCGAAGCATCTTGGCCGTGGTGTCCCAGAGGTCTCGCCTCTTCGTGGTCTTCTGGCGTCTGGTTGTCTCTTGGTGGTGTCCTGGTGATCTCCTGGTGGTCGTGGTCCTCATGGTCGTTATGGTCGGCGTGGTACTCTGTCACTGTTTGTGGATCTACGCCGGCATGTCAAGCAAGGTTCCTGCTATGCAGTGTCCACACTTCCATACCTTTTGGCACTAAGCCCAAAACCAATGCTTCGCAAACGCAAGGAATACTAGCATCTCGCCCAGAGAGTTGCAGCCACACATTGGTAGCCATTACTTTATCAACCCCGGCAGCGTAAGACGAAAGAACCCAAAATGAGATACCTGGAATTCTCTAGATACTTGTAGGTAGGGCATAAGCTCACGAACACCTTGATGTCAATCCCAGCAGGGACCTCATCATGCAAGCCCATACTTAGGAGTCCTTTAAGATACCAGTAAGATCAAGATCACCCAATTAGCTTGCATACCTGGCAAGGGTCAACTTTCCTGTTTCCGAACTTGGCAGACGCACAAGTTCTGTGGGCTCCGGATGATGATAAACCAAGAGTTTGAGGTCCATTTGTTTGAGGGTCCGGTCAGTGATGGTTCTTCGAGGGTTTAGGGTTTTAAGCATTTGGGTCTAAGGTTTGTTGAGTTAGAGGCGTTGTGCTCGGGCCTTGGATTTCTCCGCCTGCGGAGGACTTGACCTGGCGTGTGTCGGAAAAATGTAATTGCAGGACGGCTGTGTTTCGGGCCCACGGACCACGGAAGATGTTGTGCAACGTGGGCTTCTCTCATGGAAGGCCATGTTGGAAGTGGCCATGTGGTTTATTACAGGGCTTTAGTCATGAAGCAGTCGATTTAACAACGGTAATGCGACTCGCAATTGAAAGCGACCCATGGTAATGAGGCACTACGAAATCAACCCAAGGACACTCAGACATGGCTGTTAACAAGCGGTTCCGGGCTGTGCTGCATATGCTTGTTTATGTCCTTCTCAGCACCCGGCGCGTCGGGATCTTGCAGGTGGATTGTCGGCCGGGTGCCCTTAGAGGCTTGCGGGGTTTGTCTCATCGAAGCGTCGCCAACATCAAGCCGAGGTTCTGCAATAAAATACAACGCTGAGTAGTGAATCCCGCTCTCTTATAAAAGTAGAAGCAAGAGGTGTCAAAACATTCAGGCCCTAGAAAGAGGGTTGTTGTAGAAAGCCGAATAATACATACTTTTGTTCCTTAGGTCTTGTTTGTAATTTGATTATAACCACATCCCAAAAGCCCAATGCTAAGTATGAATGTCCCTGCAGTGCAATAGCTCAGTCATCGAGGGTCACCTGGATGCCGTAGTTCTGACACACGCTCTGTCATTGCGAAGAGCGCACGCCGTTGTTTTCTTGTACGGTCCTGCGTTCGGGCTTCTGGAGCCAAAGGTCTCATCTCGAGTTCCGCGACAGACCAGTACCCCGAAAATGAGAGAGGGTACCTTAACATAGAGGGGGTCCCAAATGACGACCTGCTTGTTGCTCGATAAAGCTGTATCTGACTGTCTTCTCCGTAAACCGTAAATCTCTAAAGGCACCCATAAAACCAGGTGAAATTAGAAGACCCTCCATTACGGATGTACTGGGCTTGCTGAGTTCGTCACCCCATCGAAGATGGGGCATTCTTCGTCCCAATTCGGACGAAAGAGCGTCGCTCTATTTAGGGCCCCGGTTATTCCTGTCCTTGGCTATCTTCTGGTCTGTTCGTAGGACTGTAGCGCTTGTGCTTCTATGATAGTAATTTCGCTATGAAGGCCAAACGTTTGAGCTTCAGGTGAAGTTCAGAAGTGAGCCAGTTTATGTTGCGGTTCGATGCATGTTCGCAGCAACACTGGTCGCGTGGTTTACAGGTTCAAAGCTTAGGCTTGCCCTCGTCGAGATGGCCAGGGGCCCTAATCCCCGACCCCTTCCGAGAGTTTGCTTCACGCATGACGGTGTGCCTCTTCCCGGAGATTCTGGATGCCGATACCAATTTAGGCTGCCAACATCATCGCCGATGCCGGCATCGTTGGCTCAGGGGGCTCCAGATGACGGTCAGAAGCACATTGGCCCCGTACGATTTGTCGTCGTGCTGTGTCCTGGGCTCTTGCTGCCCGATGGACACTCGTTGCGTTTCAGAAACGGAGCATCTTGTACTTTGTACTGCTATCAAAGCCTGCGGAGGAAGAAGAAGTTGGTAAGCCGAGCTCCCGTGCCTATAAAGATATCCGCCGACCAGAGCCCTCGTGGACCAAGTCCAGCCGGTCTCGAACATCTTTTTGTTGGAACCCGTTGCTTGTCTCGAGATCAAGGTCCAGTGACCGTGACTCCTAGACTGCTTCCGTCGACCTTGATATCGCGATGGCAAGCGTTTAAACGTGACCGGTCATGAGACCCTAAACCCTACACCTTAGCCCTAGACCCTCCAGCTTAAATTCCAGACTGCAACAGCCGTAGCCGAGACTCCATTCAATCCTCAACCCCTTTGGTTACGGCCGGTGCGCCAGCTCCGCGAATGATCTGCTACGGAGCTGCCTTCTGACAGAAGCTTAGATAGCATGGAAACTTGAGTGGTTGCTGCAAGTATTCTTGAAGGTTGATGGTTCCTGTAGTAATTATACTAGAACTTATCCCAAACCCTTGTTGCAAACACACAAGACCTATGTCAGATATCGCAATAATTGCTTTCGGGGCCTTGAAAATAAGACCGTCCTCCTTGTCGTAATCCTCATCATGACGGACCTCAACATCAGGATCTCTATGACCGTCCTTATTGAGGGAAAGTGTTCTTTAGGAACGAAGGTAAACGAGGCGGGAAAGCTCTAGAATGTGCAGCAGACATGACAGTGGCAAGAGTAGTCAGTGCAGTACTCATGAGTTGGAAGCAGGAGTTACAAGATCTCAAGAAGATAGAGCGGAAGGCATCTCCTGTGTCGCTGGAACCCGTGAAACGACGAATCAAAACTTGAGTCTCACCCGATGCTGCACACAAAAGAGGTTCGTGAAAAGTCTTAGGTGATATGGTTTACAAAAGACATGTGCAACATCTTTTCCTGACTAGGGCAAGGGCATTCCATTTCCTTGCTATTGCGTGAGCCAGGTGAAGACGCTGCAAAGACAACTGAAACCAGCCTCTCCAATACTCAGCCAGCCAACAGCAAAAGCAGCATCACAGCTGCTCACACGCAGGTGGTGAGCCGTACAGATGGCACGGCTATCCCCTCAAGTCTAAACCAGAAACAACCATTTTCCAAACCCTAGCCCGAAACCCCAAAGCCTACAAAAAAGAAAGGCTCCAAACCCCAATACATACAGAAGCCCGAAGAATTACCAGACTATTCTTTAATGCCTAGAATAACTACAGTGAAACGTACCTAACCGAGCCTATTCTAGCTATTCAGGACGAAACGTCGACCAAACATGGCTCAGCCTTGTAGAGACGCCAGAGCTCACGAGGCTATTCCTGGCTTTAGAAGCCGTGGGCCACGGAATGCCCTGGCATGGAGTTTGGTGCTGAGGTGTATGTTTTCTATCAGAGGGCTTCAATCAGTACTATTGTCGCCTGAAACCCTAGAAAATTGATTGTACTACAGTTTAGGGTTGAACTTACTTAGGGCTATAGGAGAGCGCAGGGTCAGAATGCGAGCTGAGTGGTTGCGGCTCCGGGCTTCTCACCGGCGGGCT